ACGGCTGGTGGGTTGAGAGGAGCTGATGGGTCGGTGCAGGTAGGAGCCGATGGGTCGGTGGCACCAGCTAATTCTACCGCCCTAAATTGGGAGCGGTTGGCCAACTGAACCATCATCATCCATGATTTTTACATATTTTGGTTGACTCTTGATTAGTGTGTCTCTTTTCCCTTTACCGCTAGTCAAATCCATGAGTCTCCTGAATTAGGAATGATTCTGGAATAAGCAGACATATTTTTGAAGGACATCAAAGGAAATCAAAAAGAAGTCAAACGAGTTCAAAAGGACGCTGTTGCAGGAGGTCTTTTAATTTAAGACCTAAAGAGAAGACATTATTGTGGAGGGTGATCTTCATCATGATTTCTAGTGTACTGGGTTACCCTCTTTGTGGAATCATTTTTGTCATATTTGTTGATAAGATTTAATAAAGGGAGTTAACAAAAAAAACTCACTTTCACAGTTAATCAATAGAGTCAATAGAGATCAACAGGAATCCTAAATAAGGAAATCAATAGGAATAGTAAACGACAAGAATCAACATTATTTCAACAGGAAATCTATACTTAGTAATCAAAATACACGATTTAATTGTAGCAATGCGACCATAGATCGATATTATTGCAGGAGATGGCAATCAGATATGATTACAGCCCAACGGCGCAGACAATAATCAGGGATGGGTCACTAATCGAACCGGACAGGGCGCAGACAATAATCGGGGATTGCTAACTAATCAAGTGTTAACGTTACTGGGATAGACCCAACCGATGCACGTGTTGATGGTGTGGCCTGGAGACTCCTGGAGATGAGGAGTGAGTGGCCGAGAGTTCGCGAACGCAGCTGGAAAGGACTTCGGCCAGTTGAGCTTCCTCGATGTGAATTCGGCGATCGTTTGATCAGAGGCTGAAAGGGGATTGGTTGTGCTCCCACAAAACGTCCACCCAGACATACCCACATGGATATGCATACACAATATACCATCAACGGCACCGGCCTTTTTTGCAGAACAACATGCCTTTCCCCTTCCGATCTTCAGATCTACATCATTGACATCTTATAATGACTGGTGTCTTCCGACTCTTCCGCTTTGGGGCCCGACTCTTCCGACTCCTTCAACGCCCCGTCACGGCCCGTCAAGGCCAAGAAAGCCGCCGTGCGAAGCAAGGCGAAGGCCGCGATGGGATCCGATGGACTGACGTGGGCGTTTCTTGGGCTTTTCAGCTTTTTCTGCCGTGTGTTTTCGCACAGGACCTCGGGGTGTGAACGTTGACGTTGCTGACGTGGACGTATCGAACCCGTGTGTTTGGTGATCCGTCCCAGGTGATCTCTAATATGAGGAGCCCGCGTTCAGGAAAAACATCGTTCCGAACTCACTGGATAGATTGGGCGAAGCGACTGGGTGAATTTGACACGACACGTCTGGGATTGCCACAATTGCCGATCAGTTGGGGTGGTGAAAGCGGGGTCAATGTATATAAGCATTTTTATGGCAGTCCCATGGAGTGTTTGGGTTGGCTGCCAATTTTGTGTGATTCCAGGATCGAGTTGGCGAAGCGTTTTGCTTGGATCTGGCAGGGAAGGACTGGGTGAACCAACGACTGGTGCCCGGTAGACCTGGACAATTCCAACACAAGCCACGCGCCCGGTAGACCTGACCCTTCGGCCGGTCGGATACACCACAATCTCCCGCTGTGCGGTCGTCGTCCCTCTGCGGTCGGATAGTCACCACGTCGTGCTCCGGGCGTCATGGCCGCCGCATGAAACTCCTGTGGGGTGGTAGAGGAGAATCCTCAGGGGTCCAGGGGAGGCAGATGTTCACGGGCCGGATCCAGGGGGGGTGGTTTTAGGGAGGGGGAGGCAGATGGTGAAGTCAAAGACCAAAAGTGATTGGTTTACCTCATGTTGTAGCTGAACAGCATACCCCAAACAGACCCTGCATTTATGCATGACGTGTTTGCCGATCAGTTGGGGTGGCTTCAGGGGTCAATGTAAGGCTTCAGGGGTCAATGTAGGTATATTCAATATTCCATACAAACATACACAAGATATGAATGCGCTTGCCAGGCCACCGTCAGACTCTTTGTTGTGACATACTACAGGTGGACAACGCTCCTCGCACTTGTGCATTCATCCTCCACGCAACATCTTTATAAAGGACCCTGAAAGAATTCCTTGATCCTTTCTTGTTCAATATACTCTTTGATTTGTTTGATGGAAAGATCGTCTTTCAGATGCCTGTGCTGCAGGTGATTTTTGGGTCCATGACAACCAGCGGACACCTCCATGACAAACGGCTACAGCCACCCAAACTGAAGAACTGCACCCATGACCAAACCAGACGATGTGGATTCCGAATATGTGAGATCCAAACAAAACAGGACCTTCCAACAGACACCCCAAATCACCTCTTTACAAGGCTATTTATAGACACCTCAAACGGAAGGTCCTGGTTTATCACGAAAGGTAGCTTGAGCTACCTGAGTTCTCCTTGCTTTAGCAAAAATGTATTACAATCAGGAGTTGGGATTGTGCATTGAGTTTGGTCCTGTAAGAGTTGATTCTGTTCGTCGGGGGGGGGGCGCCCCCCCCCCGGATCAAATCCCCCCTCCGCCGGTTCACGCCGTCATGAACTTTTACCAGGGTTGCTTGTGATTGCCTGCTACCTTTCGTTCACCCCCTCCTCTCTCAAGTTTTCCACGTCTCGACGTGTGATTTTTCTCTTTTTTTGGGGGCTCTTGTTGAGCGTCAAGGTGACGGTCAGGTGACGTATGTTGCGTGGCGTTTCGCATGGCAAGGCGAAAGCGAAGGTCTAAGCCATGCGCCTCTCGCGAGAACGACGGGAGGAGGTCGCATGGCTCGGGAAGCGCCAAAAGACGGGAATTGAGCTGCGCGACGAACAACATTATTTGTTGACTTATTTAGTCACGGCATGACCTTAAACCTATGTTGAGGGCTTTGTTTCTGTGGAAAACGATATGGTCCCCACCAAAAAACATCTTGTTACAGTAAGATGTGGTGGGTACAAAGATGTTTGTGGTTACCAGATGTTGTTGCATTTGCATGTTGATTTGAGCATATTTGAGCTAAACCAATGGGCACAACTTTTCATCAATGATAACCCGAGACAACCTTCCAAACCAAACGATAATCCAAACGATAAGCGAACGATAACCTAAATGTCACGCCAGGCACTCCGTAGACCTACTTCTCCACATTGCTAGCGTTGGCTCGAGCTACTAGGTCCCCGCTTATTTGTTGTGATCCTTGCGCCCGGTGCCACAAGAACCCAAGAGTTATATTTTGTGTTTTAGCCTATGTGCTGGTATGCTATGCTAACTACGGTTTGGAGAAACATTGGAGAACGATATGGACCCCAACACAAACGATAATCATGTCAAATGGTATGGTGCTACACAAGTAATGTTGTCCGCTGCTCTCTCGTTGCACTTACTCTTGTTTTGGACAATTGGCAGGATTTTGATGGATTTGGATGGATTTGATCTGGTTGTAGAGCACTCTCAGAGATTGACACACAATGACACACTCTCAATCGCCCATCCCGAGACAGTCTTCTTGAAGTCTGCGGGTCACGAAGATTCTGTCGAGCATTTCTGTCGAGTTTTGATGTGTGCCACGATCATCCATTTTGGGCCCCCAAAGGCACTTTTCCTCACAGGAAAGAACTTGGAACGACTTGAATCCTCAAGAAAGGTATGGAAGAACTTGGTGTCATTCCGCAACATGCAAACAGGAATCCAGCTTAAAACGGTGGTGATGGAAGATTCTTCTCACCAAAACCCCCGGGTTCGCGTTTCCGTCTTTTCCGGTGCCCAATCGGGGCAGGCCAATGGAACGGCGCACGCCGATCTGAGCAGGATTGGATCTATTTTACAGAAACGAACTATATAGGTCAGACCGTGTCCACATGTGTCCACTATAAAGAGTAGATGAGTAGAAGAAGCGACGTCAGATTGGGGTAGAAAGAGATGTGCGTTTGGAATCCAAGGACCTGGCTGTAATTCAAAATTCATGGAACAGGTGGTGCCGTTTTGAGTCAGCGCTTTGAAGAACATGGTGTTTCTTATTGTTTCTTGGTTGGCATTGCAGGTCAGATGACATTATGGATTTGTAGAACACTGCAGCCGCTGTAACCACCTGACAAGCACTGACAGTCAACTGCTTTTGGCGTGCTGACTCAATCAAATAACACACTGTTTAGCCAAATGCTCATGACCAGCCCAACAGAACGAAAAGGCTTCCTGCGTGCGTTAAAACCCACGGTGGGTTCTTTCTCTTCTAGCTCTCCTGAGACCATTCTTGTTGAAACACTTTGACTCTCAGGGCCCAAGAGGACTTTTTTAATACAACTTTAGAACAGGCCGCTCGGCTCGGTCGCCCAACGCAGCGACCGGTCGCCCGACTGCAGCTCGGTATGGTTGTTAAGACCTTGTGTGACCAGGGCTCTCGATGGTCTCAGCACAGCACGTTTTCGGAGCCTTGTTTCGCTTTTTGGGGCCCACCGAAAGCTCGACGTCCCCCGGCTGCAGGCTGCTACAAGATGCTTTTGCCATCAAAAGCCTCTCTCCTGTTTTGGAATAGATGAGTTTTACTAAGAAAACTTCAAGAAACCCATTTCGATGGTTTTACCAGCCCACAGTGCATGTCGAGAATCACCCGAATTCGCTACGTAACGATTCTGACAAACGTCGGGACGGCCACCCGGTCGGTGGGGACGGGGACGGCCACCCGGTCGGTGGGGCGCCATGGATCGATCCGGTTGTGATGGATCACTGAGTGTTGTCTTTGGTGGTTTTCAGTGAGGATCCTTGTTGGCTCAGCCCAAGCCGAAACGAGGGTACACGAAATAAGCAGACCTGCATCTTCAGACCAAGCCTTGCTCTTTTGAGACGGACAATCCTTTGCATGTGTTGTTTTTAATCCTTACAATAGTTCAACAGTAAATAGAACAGTTTGGAGATCCTTCTTTACGCCAATAGCGGGCGAAAGGTGCTTGCTTCTTGCATCGTGAGTAACGATTTTGTTGGCAGTTAACGGTGCGATGTCGGAGAAAGCCTTGAAGGGGCTTCACTCTTCCATTGACTTGGTTGTCAAGGAATGGGATCCCGTCGGCTGAAGGAATAGTAGAGCAGTTGACCTGACGAGAGAAGGGTCCCACTGCAGCAGCTGAGGGGAGGGACAAGAGCATGAGCTGAAGATGTAATACTGTAATATGTGCGATGGAAAGCACCGGAGTTTTTGTCGACATGATTTTGAGATTCGATTCAGATTTAGAACCACCTGGAGGCCGCTGATGGCCGTGCCGAAAGATCTTCTAAGATAGCAATTTGGGTCTCCCAGGTCCAGCTTCCACGGAATGGCAGGATCCAGCGCGGAAAGACTATGCCTTAAAGGCTTTGGCCGTGTAAGGGCGACTCAGATCGCCGCCATCCGAGGAATTGGTTCATCCAGTTTGGACTGGTGTGTTGGGTTGCCTTTAATATAGCTTAATCGTGTCAAGGATGAACTAGTTTGCTTTGCCGTAACTAATCCTGCAATAGTAAGGTCTGCGCCGTACGAAAGGCGAAGACCTCACCCAGCTCCATGAGGGCCCTCGGACACCACGAACTCCAATTCGTTCGGTCCGCTCCCCCGAAAACTCTTTGGGGGCAAGGTCTGAGGCTCACCTTCCTGGACCTGAAAAAGGGGTGTCCTGTCTGGAGGTCCGTAATAGTAGTGGGCTGGGGCTTCCATTGATGACCCCTTTGATGGTTGGTGTATAACTCGCAGTCTTTAGGATCTAGCTCTTGGGATCCCTCCAAGACGTCTTTGGGGCCCCTCATGAAGGGATGGGGCGTCTTGGTGATCTCTCCTTGAGGTCCTCATTGACCCCCCAAATGCCCGATCTCCGACATGTTGACTCCTCCCAAATCAGACACCTTCTAAGAAAAAGACAGCTATTCATCCATCCGTCTGACATGGCCATCGCCTGAACGGATGGGCCACACCCGACGTTGAAACCGAGACGTCGGAGCGAGGGCGAAAGCAAGCCGAGGCACGGCCGTGCGTTGCAGTTCTTAGCGCCCCAGCTGAGGGCTGATAAGGAGGCGGCTGGGCTGAGAGATGAGGAGCCTGATTGGACGGATCGGGGGATGGTTTCAGTATGTTTCAGTTGATTTGCCCCGCAGATTGGATGAATTATGATGAATTCCCTTTCGGGCGGAATCTGTTTCTTTTTGTTCGTTGCTATATGGCCACATCCAAGGCAGGTGAGCGATGTCGGAGCTTCCGCCGGGAACCGTTGTTCATGACGAATTCGTGCATGATGAGCGTAGCAGCTGCCGTTTCGCTTGCGCCAGCGGTGCCTCAACGTGGACGTTTAACGTGTGTATTTGGTTGATCAAGTATGATCATGTGTCACTTCACCTAGTTAAGTTCAAGTACCAATTTTGCAAATGATACCAAGTGCCTGGTTGGGATCAAGTCCGTGTCAGAAGTATTTCTTTTTCACGTTGGGAGCTTCGAAGAAAAACCTGTCGTTCGACTTGGCTGAAGGCTGATACTCAGCTGAAGACTGAGAAAGTTTGCTCCGGGACTGGCCTGCCTTGACCTGCCCAACCACCTCTGTTCAACCACCCCATCGCTGAAGTCCCATGAGTCATTTGGGACAGTTACGATACAACAAAACGATCTGCTGCTGCTAACCTTGATGGTTTGGAAGCGCTACAGACCTACTAAGACCTACACACCCCTTCTCAACACTCCCCAACCCATCCAGACCCTGCCCGACACCCGGTGATGGAAGCCAACACGTTTGCGACCACCGGGGCTTGGATATTCCTTGATTCATAGAGGGGATACCACAAGTGGACAACCAATTGGGTGTATGGTATATTACCCAGACACTCCATGGGACTGCCATATATGCCTACATTGACCCCCCCCTGGCACCACCCCAATGTAGGCACAGATGGCAGCCCCATGTGTCGTGTCTGGGTGGTACGGTACCTGACACCGACCGCTGACATCCTCCCAACAACGACGGACGACGACGGACAGGCCGCGACGTCGCCAGGTGGTGCTGAAAGCTGTGAAGAACGACGGCTGGGCTTTGCAGTGGGCAGACCAGGCGGACTCTTGTCCGAGACCAGCGTGAGACCGTTTCTTGATTACAGTATATCTCTTTTCTCCGGGGGCAGATTACTTACATGGTGATATTTCTGAACACTGAAAGAAACTATGAAAAAATCATGTGAAAACTTTCGAAAGGCTTTCGGCTTCTCAAACACTACAAACACTACAAACACTAACTGACATGCTTGAGATGGTCCGTCCGAGCGTCCCGTGTCCAGGGAGACCGTCGTTCTTTTGCGGGTTGAACGGGTGAACAGTGTGGAATGACCTCGCCGCTCGCGGTGGGGGCAGTCGACGTGACATGGGGTGACGTCGGGTGATCAGATGGCCTAATGATGATGTATGGGATGAATCCTGCTAAGGTCCAGGTAAGATGTTCGTATTTCTTTCCTTTAAGATCCTTTAAGCAAGGAACTGTTCCGCTTATTCCATGCATGAGTTGTGTTAAACATGTGTGCACCTGTGTGCATGTTTTTTTTTCTGGTTTCCTGGACACCAAAATCCCAGAGCCCGTGTCGACTTCTCGTCTCCTTTGTCCTGAGGTTTGTCGCGTTGGTGCTCCGTGTTTGGTGGCTTTCGTCGCCCATGGTGGTTTTCCCAACACGTTGCGAGTCGCTGTTGTCAACGTCTTGCGGGCGTTCAGAGTTCGGAGTGAACAAGGTGCATAGACACATCCTCTTTTTTGCATCTACTCCAGAGTCAAATCTATGCCGAGACCATCCTGGGGTGTCCTGGCTGGACTCCGAAAAAGCACACCTCTGGCCCAAGGATTCTTAGGGCTGAAAAGAAGCCGTTCGCCGAAAGAAACTCGTGTTTCTCAGAGTCTCAGCGCTGCTTGTCTCACCTCGAAAGTTCACTCCTGCAATGCCGGGGGATCCCAGTCAGTACCAGGGGGTATACTGAGTATAGTGTATGAATATAGAGCTAGCATTATAGAACGAGCATGAATGAGCTCTCGCAATTCCTAGTGAGTTCGGAGATGGGCTGGGCATTGTTCCAACGGTGGGCTAGGCTCCCATCTTGGAATCTGCTCTATCATCAAGGACAAAAAATGCCAGATTGATTGTTTTGATGAAGGAGGATTGAAGTGGCCATGACCATGACTTACCAGAACCAGTCGTGGGCATGTCATGGATAGTCATGGACATATATTGTTTCATCATCATATTGTTTTACAATATTTTACCTTTTACCATGCATGTTACCAATACTATCCTGTTTGGGTGTCCTGGCTGAACTACCCAGCCCACTACCGACGAGGATCTCCAAGACACCCAGGTAGGATGGTCAGGGTATGAATCTTACCATATTTCGCCCAAACCTTCATATTCCATCATATTCCAAGTTCCAACAGTTGTATAATACAATTATATTTAAGAAAAACGCAAGTTGAAAATGATATTCCAGCCCTTACCAAAACAACTAACAACCAAGTTCTCAAACCAAAAAAACACACACACTCACACTTTCACCCAGCAGTTCCAAAGGGGTTCCTAATTAATGGAGGGTGTGCCCAAACATCACTCACCTAGGGTGGAAACAGTCTAAACACCACCCCTTTGTAACTCCTGGACAATAGTTTTGTTTTTTGGCGTCTCTCTCTCTCTCTCTCGATTTCCCATGTTGCCTCCTAACCTGAACCATTCTTTGACTCCGCTCGAACGCCAGGAGTGTCGAAAGGATCGGGAGCTGGTGCTGAAGGCGGCCAGCATGCCAGCGAGCCCGATGAAGTTCATGGAACGCGAGGAACGTATGGCGTAAAACGAACGGGTTCAGCATCTGAAGATTCAGATATCGATCATCATTTTGAACACCATACATGGTGGGTGTGTTTTTTTGGGAAGACCTCCCACTTCGACCCTAGAAAGAACGCACATGGACCGAGAGCCGGGGCGAACATCTCTCGGTCTCTCTTGACACGCCAAAAACCGACCGCCGGTGACCGTCGCCGTCCAATTCGGACGGTGACCATCACTGTCGGGGCCACCGTCGGATTGCTAGGGATTGCTATATGTCCAAGTCTTTCTATTCCTAAGATAGACCTTGCTTGCGCTATATGAAAATCCTGGGGACCAACTGTCGGTAGCAAGGGCTATTCCTATAAGGGTTCTATGTCTAAGTCCTACTGTACCTGCTCCCTGGGCGAGCCCAGTTCTCCGCTCTTTGGAGGCCATGAGCAAGGACGTGCGGTCCTTGCAGTTCGCAGCTCAGGAGACGGGTGGCCGTGGGAGAGACTGTAGCTGGACGGACTGGACGGACTGGACTAGCTGGTAGTGATTGGAAGATGATTGGATGGTATGGTCATGATTCGTCGGACGTTTGCAGAATCACCAATTCCACGCCCGAAAACGTCCGTCACGGGTCACGGGTGCTCCTGGCACCCGACGGTTTTCCGGACGGGTCGCTCCACGGTCGCGAACCGTGGCGACTTGAGGATCCCATGGGATCGTTTGAAAAGCGGGGTACAGACGATGGTTGGAACACATGCACACATCATTGGTTTTGACTCTCTAGGATGATCGTTCCTGGATAACCTTGATACGCATGAATAGATTACAGTTCCGAGTCCTGAGTTTTGGATCATTCTTGTAGAATCCCCTGCCGAATACACCCCATAGAATCGGGGAGCTTGAGCACAAAATTGACCCTCAGATCTTATAGACACTTTTTCTATAGAATGAAATCTCAACCTACCTTAAAAGATGGCCCCCACTCACTGGGTCAGCTCGGCTGATGCCCAATAGGTTGAGCCATGTTGAGCCAGTCCATTTTATAGAAAAGGCATGAAGATGCATCAGATCTTATAGAGGTTCTAGTTTTGATTCTATAGAAAGCATTTGGAGTAGTAGAAGGTTGATAATTGATTTCAGAGTGGATAGTGGATGGTGCGTTGTGAGGTCAGTGAGGTCGATATATCATTTTATAGAAAGTGCTTGCATTTGAGGAGGATTCATATGTGATTTCAGACTACATGCTTGTTTGTTTCAATGTTTTGTGTCCTTCTTCTAGAATCAATTTCAACCCTGCAGTGTCCAAACATGTCTCTATAAAATCAAAAAGCAACCTTTTGGTCCACACTTTTGTCCAATCTGTCTCTAGCATCAATTTCAGCCCTGCAGTGTCCAAGCATGTCTCCATAACATCAACACGTTGCATTTATGGAACGGCAATACATGGTATTTGCATCGTGGCAGTTCGAACTGATTCTCCCAACTTCTAGATGTACAAGGTCAGTGCGGTTAGTGGCGACTAGGAAACCTAGCGTCGTTTAACCTGCAACTGCTGAACAAACCTTTCACACTGATCTTATTTTGATTAAGTTCACGATTGAGCCACGTCAGCGTCACATCCTCGAAGTGTGCTGGTGTAACAAACTGGTCAAAAGCAAGGTTGTTGCAGGTTATTTTGCGGTCACTAAATTCAAGTACCATGGTCGGCTGGTGACTGGCAAGCTCATGCTGCTGCACGGCTTTGTTGGAGATGGCTTAGCACGATGCTTACACAGGTGGAAACCAGGTAGAACCTCAACCTGCATGTTGGCGATACACATCCTACCCTACTCACCTACTGCATACCAAACTGCACTAGAATCCCTCAACCTTACTGCGAATATCCGTCGAGATCTTCGAATGTAATGGCTAGATCAGGACGCGCAGGTTCATCTCTGAGGAAAATTGGCGAAGTTGGCACTTAGGAGCTGAAGATCAGATTGTGGCAGAAGCTTTTATGCAAGAAGGCCGTGTGCTTCAACGGTCAGTTGGAAGAAGCATGACACCTTTACTGCATACACAACTTAGAAGATTTGATTAACAAATCTATGCTTTCAGAAGCTAGGGATTTGCGTGAGTGCATTTTTCTGCTGGAGCGAACCGTGCCTGGGATGGAGGCCTTCGTATCGCGTAGGTGAAGGCGACTGCTCAACTCATCTTGCATTGAAGAAGCTTTGTTGGTAGTTGATGCGCACCTCATATAGGCTCTGACACAGGCATTTGATACGCAGTCTTCAATGGTTGGAGGTCTCCAAAGCCATGCATATTCAAACACTTCAGCTCCTGACAGATGCACGTGCATCAACCTGACGTTTACGAACACGTCCACGTGTGTTGTGCACCACAGTGGTCCTGCTGATGAACCGGCGTGGGTGCAGTCTCGTTGCTGGGGCTAAAAGCTCAGGGAGGTTTCCTGTGATATGCGCTTAGGTCTTCACATTCAACATTTCTGAGAGCATCTGTGAACAATACTTTGGAATGCTGGAATTACTTTACAAGTAAATTGAAAGATCTTACGCATAAAGGGACGAAGTGTTCATGAAGAGGCGAGGGGCGCCAACCCGACCCGAAGACCGACCCGCGAAGAGACGAAGACACGAAGACCCGTGAAGACATGAAGACCAGCGAAGAGACGAAGACACGAAGACCCGTGAAGACACTAAGACACGAAGACCCGTGAAGACGCGAAGACACGAAGACCCGTGAAGACACTAAGACACGAAGACCCGTGAAGACAGGAAGACACGAAGACCCGCGAAGAGGCGAAGACACGAAGACCCGTGAAGACACGAAGACACAAAGACACAAAGACCCGTGAAGACACGAAGACCCGCGAAGACACGCGCGCACATCATCTAATTTGGCCTACTACATCGACATATCTATATGTACTACCAAAAGTAATACCAACGTTAAAGTTGCCGGATCCTATAGTGACCCGGGCTCTCTGCCTCTACAGACAGCACAGAACATTTCATAGCTTGGGTTCAGAACATCGTGTTGCCAAGACAATGGGATTGAAATTCGAAATCTCACTCTGCACTCGTGAAAGGGCAAGGGAAGAGGCAAAGGCCTTTAGACGGAAGCTTCTGCGGCCGCCCGCGCATAGATAGGTAGTATATCTTGAACCTCCATGCTGATTGCTTAAGTGAATCCCACTCCCTCAACTAACCGCAAACCAACGACGCCAGAAACCACAAACCTATGACATGGATATGGATGTTTGAACTGCGCGTCTTGGGCTTGACGTGATTGACGTCACTACTTTTGCACTCTTTTGAAAGACTACAAGATGGTGGAGTTTCGGCCTGCGGGCTTGGGTGCTTGGTTTTGGGTTGGTTTTGGGGTCTTTGTTCTTTTCTCCACCATCTGACTGCTCTTCCCTTCCTTCAACGATGACCTGGGCACCATGCCCACACGGCGTCCGTACTCGTGGAAAAAAAACAATGCAAACCGCCCTTAACCTGTGCATGGTCTGGTCCTTGTAAGACCAAAGTTGGAGCGCAGGATGCTTTGCGAGAATTGGAGCAGCAGGGTTGGGAAACGCTGCCGATCGCTATACTCGGCATGCCCAATCTGCCGCCAGCATGGGTCATCGAGACTTGGAAACCAGTTGGTGGGTGCAAATTTACAGGCTACTTCTCCGGAGAACTGGAAATAGTGCTTTGCGCTTCTGCCTGCTAAAGTGGCGGACAATTCGTCCGCAATCGACTGAACTCTTTCCAGCACAATTGCAGGGGGACAGTCTTAGCTGTCTTCCGGCAGAGGACGGTGATGCAGACGTGGAGTCAGTTTCCACGCTCTCGTCTGACACTTCTGCCAGAAGAGCAGATCGACTCACTGAAGCAATCGAACGAGACTCGACGCAGGGTAGTCAGGCACCTGACCCCAGTCCATGCACTCCCTGTCCGCAACGGCTGTCTCCTCCCCTCTTTGTGCCCTGGAGTCAAGTCGCCAAGCTGCGAGGGGTTGTTGCAATCCACAAGGACATTGAAGCATGTCCGTATGAGCAACTGCAAGTTGCTTTGGCTCACCCCAAGTGTCTTGTCCCGGGAGAAAAAGAGCAGTTTCTTCAAGCCAACAAGCATGGACCACAGGTGTTTGAAGCCATCAACCAGCGTCAGCAGGGTGAAATTCTATGGGTCACTGTCCTGTGGATGATTGCACGACTTAATGAGCACTGGATTGGTCATAACATCCCACCCTTACCCTCCGTGTTTCAGATCAATTGTGGGAGGAGCCCTTGAAGGGGAGGTCTCCCCGCACTTCCATTGCATGTGTCCGCCTGTGGGGGAAAGTCTACGGACCGTCACTCTCTTCCGCAGATGTCGTTGATGATCAGGAATGGGGTGTTGTCTGTGGCTGGTCGACAGGTGTACATGAAGTCGCCACCCTCTTTGCGCTCACGCAGAATCCGTGCCAGAAATGGGAAGACCTCGGATACGGCAAGGCAGCCCTCCTGTACCAACGTACGCAGCTGCTGAAAGCAGCCCGGCTGCTCCCAGCTCACCGACGGCTGCCACACCAGGCCTTTTTCAGTGGTCTTTGGTGGAAGCTACTTTCGTTACAGCCGCTACGACTTGTTGCCTACTTGCCGTGCTTGGGTGTCTTCAGCCGGCTGAGCAGGAAGATCCCACCCACTTTACGGTAAACGGCTTTAGTGCAGGCAGCCACACTGGAGCAGTGATTGCCTCAGCAATTCGTTGCCTCTGGCCAGCCAGTCAGATCACAGCGCGTCTAGGCGCCATTGCAATGCCGAAGAGTGTATTAGCGGCACTCGTTGCCACGTTTTTGATGAGTTCCAGACAACTTGGTGATGGAGCTACACAGCGGCATGACGGTTTTTGACCAAGAAAATAGCTGCTCGGCTCTGGCCAACCGCCCACAACCCATTCAGTTGAAAACGCGGTAAGTTTATAGCAACGCAGCGAACCCTCCAGCCACAAAACCACAAAAGACTGTCAGCCTTCAAATCTATTATGTTCTTATTGATTTATTGTTCTGGTCTTTAGACAAGCATCACCTTGACTTTTCCATGGACCTAGAAAATACAGGGTTGGGATTGGGCAGGCGTTGAACAGGCATTGTGGGGCCATTTGTCTCTAGCACCACTGGTCCCAGCAGGATCCATGAAGATGTAGTTTGTCTAGAAGCACCACTAGCCCAGCCGGACCCATGAAGATGTAGTTTGCCTCCAAGGCATCACTACCATTGGCCCCAGCAGGACCCATGATCCAGAGGACCCGGTTCCCACAGAGGACCCAATTGACAAGAAATTTCCTTTGTCTCAAGACACAGAGAACAGTCCTAAACAAGGAAAAAGTGTCACGACAAGAAGTCTCTACAGTTCAATCATCTCAATTTCCTTAGGAAAGAGGTAGCTATCCGGACATTCGGTGAAGCAAACAGAATTCCTCAGTGAATGCTCA